TTGAAAGCATTCTTACTTTACAGCATTTTTTCATACCTGCCTAAAACTTTTGCACAGTATTATACATACTAATTCAGTGTTATTCAAGGGTTAGCCATTGTTATGTTAAGGAAAATGGACGTTAGTCAACTTGGATCTTATCTTCCTGGCAGCATAACAGAATTTCAACATCTAGGTAGGTAGAATCTATTTGATCTGGGAGAAGAATTTGTATTATAGAAGGTATCAGGATGACCTACATAAATTGAGCAGATAAGGGGAAATAAAATGGATTCTAACATTCCTATAAAAACAGCAATACAACTGTATACATCTGAGATGGTCTCATCTGAAAGGTGGCAGATTAGGGAAGGCTGCCCTATCAGGTTGTTACAAGTACCACATTTCAGTTTTATACATATTCCTTATTCCACAGGACTTCATGGTTGCAACATACAGAATTAAAAACAAAAAACCAAAATCTTCACCTGCATACATTGCTTGTGAAACTTGATTTTGCAGAAACTGCAACTGGAAGCTCAGCTGAAAAAGAAGGAATTTGAAAGGCTTGTTGAGAAGAAACCTATGAAATACACTGAGGAGCCCATCTGTCAAGAGGTGGAACCACCTTACCCTATAAGAATAAATGAGAGTTTGTCAAACAGCCAAGAAGCTCCACTAGCATTCCAGCAAGTACAGGAAGGTCAAGAAAAGTATTTTCTTCCTTTGGAGCCAATTGCAGTCCAGAAAAAGGAAGCAGAGAGCACAACTCCACAGACAGATGCATTTGCCATGCCAGGTAAAAAGGGCCATCCTGTAATTCTTCACCACAAGGATGAAACTACTAAGTTTTTATTTTAAAAAAAGGGCATTCATATGTGGTTAGAGTCAACATTATGTGGCATTAGGAATGCAAAATTAGATGATGTGATTTTGATCCACTTAAACTCAAGTAAAATTGAGTAATTAAGTACTTCCTTGATTGCTCTACTTTAGGCTGCAGGCAGTATGCATGTGAATATTTTAAAAAGTCATTCAGTAAAAACTACATGCAGAGAGAATACCAACATTTTAGGATGACAGCCTTCCACATAATTGTTCATCTGGTATACTGTTTTTCAGTGAAGTGGAAAGTATTTTGTGAGACCATCATTACCTCTGGAGGGTGAGGCAACCTCCGTCCCCCATAAAAATATGTGAATCGGGATTTTGTTGAATGTTACTGATTTCTTTAAATATAATATAAATATATTTGGGCCTCTTGACTTGCAGTTCCTTCATCTCTTTGAAGGCAGGGTGCCTTTCCCTAATTCTGCCTCCAAGAAAAAGGGTTTTGGAACATATTGGACATTCTCTGTTTTTCTTAGAATGGTTTCTCTGACTGCTATAGCCATTAGATACTGTAAGTATCTTTGGGAATGCTGCCAGACTCTATAGGCTTGATTGATTAGCTTCAGGATATTCATGTTTATCATTAGCTTCCAGCCAGGGAATTTCAAAAACGGTAGCCCTTCTGTGCTATCTCTTAAGTTCCATTAAATTTGAGCAATGGTTTTCTTAAGCTTATTGTGCAAGTTAATGGTTTAACTCAGCTACTAGTGCTCCATCTTCAGAAAATCTCCAACAGTTATTCCTTTTATTAAATGCAAGTCTGTATTGTAGAAAAAGCAAAGCACTGTAGAGATAAAACCAAAACAATTATCACTAAGGATTTTCATTGGGAAGAAACCCAAAATGTGGGGGTCTTCACAAATACTTAAGGCTATAATAATGGATGGATGTATTTCTCCATGTTATTTTCATATCTGTTCTTATCTTTAACTGTTACAATGATTTTGTACTAGTAGCTTTTCCCATAGAAATATAACTACTGCTTTTACTAAAATGTATTTTGCTAAATTTGTTATTTTTCTAAGTTAACTCTGATAGCTGGATTTTCATTCCACATGCTGATGTCATTCAGTACAATGAATAGGCTGGATCAAAGGAAGTTACCAAGAATTAAGTGCTGCTCTGCTGAAGGCAGCTGGGAAATAAAGAAGCTCATCTAAGGCAGGAGCAGGGACTCCAGTGTATTGCCAATTGTCAAGGCAGTGATCAGGTGCCCAGGCAATTGGTTCTTTTAGTTCTTTTAGATCCAGAGACAATGAACATACCAGCAGGTGAGATTTGAAGCTTTATTGTTAACTCTAGCAGACAGATTTGCAAAAGCATAGTATAAAAGCATGACATACCAAGCAAGATGATAAAACCTATTCTCCCACTGTCAGGAACTACCATAAGG